ATACATTAAAAAATTAAATTATGAAATAATGCCTTGTAAAACAATTCTGTTCCTAACATCTCATGCTGAGATATTTATATTCAAAATGAAACAAATCAGAACAGATGTAATGTCAATTCTCGAAGAATTGTAATTGGTGCTAATGATATAGCTAGAAGTACTTTGTAATTTAGTATGAAATGTTTTCTGCCAGTTCTGGGCAGAATTGTTTCACAACCCATTTCTCTAGTCTCTGACTGATGATGTGATCAATCAGATAGTAGTCGCACAGTTGTAGCTCCTACATGTTCCTTCATAATTGCATTATTTCCAGAAGAATGGAAAATGTTTACCACCGCAAAATGTTTTTCAACAGATTTCCTGCATCAGTAAAATTTAATCATTTCACCAACTCAAAGTTAATTTCGATCATATTTTCCTCTCATTTTGCATTTTCAAGCTTTATAATTATAACTATGAGCTTGTCTGCTTCATATACACCTGTCTGAGCTCATACTGTAGTATTAATATCTCCTAAAGATATACAGATTTTGTTTATCATATAGTATATGTTATAAATAAAGTGCTGTATACAGCAGAAACTGAAAAATTTAAGATTTATACAAATTTACACATTACCAAAATTATTTCCAATCAAATAACACATTCATATAATTCTGAACAAAAATCTATCACAAAGTAACAAACAGGAAAGAAAATTTTCTCAAACATTCTTTTCCTAAATGTTTTAATTCAAGACATAAAAAGCTTATCCCCCTCTTTCAAAAGATTTCCAAAATAAAATAACTGCATTGCAAAAATTTTATAACAAACAATAGCAGGTTGGCTGCTGAAATATTATGCTATGTTAGGGGGCATAAAATAATAATAATAATAAAAAAAAAAAAACCTGAACTGTCTTAAATTCTCATTTAACAAACAAATATTTACACTGTAAGTACTAATCATATACATTATGCATATGATAAGTGAAACTGAAACAGTAAAACTCAAGTTACCGAGTTTATAGGGATATATTACACAAACTCTAGAACAACTTGAATGTGTTGTAAATTTTAAACAATATAAAACTACGTTTGGTGATATATCAGCTCTACGACAAGTACTCGAAACAATTTTTCAAAAATGCCATTCATTTCTATTCAAAATCTCTTCTGAAATTCATTTTTTTTATTCATTACCCAGCATTTCTCAAATAACAGAAACAAGACTACCATCATATTTTCATGGCTATATTTGAAATGATAGAATCATAACGTATAATTCTTTCACTTTTTTCAGTCTTGCTGTTACCTTGTTAAATATGCATTAGAAATGGCTGAACCTATTAATCATTTACTTGCCTCTACACAAACAATGCTGTGGCAACCAGCAAATATGAATGTCCCTCTCTTTTCTAGGATTTTAACCCAGAGCTATAGCAGTCAACTCCTCTAACCACCCTATCAAACAAGGTGGTATTCCCACAACTTAAAATCAATATTATGAATGCAATATATTTCTCAGAGAAACCTCTTCTCACTCTAAACTAGCAGGTAAGTATCATTCTCAGTATATTATTAAATATCTTAAGTGTACAGCTATTATGAAATAGTATGTTAACTCCAACTCAATATTTTATTTTTAAGAGACTATAATATTACACATGCTGATATGTGTTTTTATTGCCTCATGTCTCAGAGCAATGAGAAGAGAATTTCATTACGGCCATACTTTTGGAATAGCATTATTTATTAGATACTAAAAAAAAACCTACTTACTCTAGCTTCATCATCATCAGGACTGACATCTTTACTAACATCCCATTTCACATCATCCAATTTTAAATGCGAGGAGTCTGATTCTTTTGACCGAATAGATCCATAACCTACATCCTGCATGCAAATAATACATATATATAATGATATAAAATGCTCTTCACCAAGATTCAGTTAATAACCAAAATTAAAAGGATATAAAGCATTTAAATTTTGCAAAAATACAGAAAACGAATCATTTACATATAAAGTACAGTAATTTATAATTATATATACTTCAAAACCTGCAGAATTTTTTTTTCATTCCAAATCTATATAAAATTTTTATTTAATAGACAACTTTTGAGACATTTCATTTTTAATTGGTTCCCTAGGGCAACATTTACCACTACTGCACTGTAAATTGCCTTACAGTCAAGTAATATTAACTGCATCCTGCTAAAAATTTATCATTTCTATTTTAATATTAGTTACATATTTTTCTGTAGTAACATTAGTGACAGCAAGAAATTCTATTCAGTACAATTCTATAAATAACTTCTATTTTAACGTTAATAAAATATAAAGAAACCATTTTATGTTAAGGAAATTTATGACAATTTAGCTGACTCTTTCTCAACTAAATGAAGTAAACTCTCATTAATCTGAAACTGGACAATTCAAAATTTCAGTTAATTTGAACAAAATCTGAAGTCTAAAAAGTATCAGTTATGTTAAAATGCAATTAATTTAACTTTATTCAAACTGATATTCCTTTGACTGACTTTCCTTTTGATAAAAATAAAAACTATAATTTATTGTTATTATTATTACTAAATTTATTTTTTGTATTGCTTAAAACATGACTATACACTCATTTACATCCTTAACCATCCTAGTATACTTCAGGCTTTTCATCCGTTCTTTACACAAATTCCTCTACTTGTATCTTTCTATACATCAAATAGTTTATATCTATTCTGCCCCCCCCCCCCCTGGAGCCACCATCTGCTTCAGAACCTTTGAATAATTAATTTTTTTTTTCTTTTTTTTGGGGGGGGGGGAAATACTTATACAAATATTTCTTATGAAATTTACATGGTGTAAAACACCTTTATATGGAGAAAACAAATTAGAACTAGCAGAAATTTAAAAATACTGTAAGTGATCTAAATCAGAAATAGCAACAGAATATGGAACAAAATGAATATATTTGCCTAAATGAATTCCTATTTGAAAATCCCTATTGAAAAACTGATTGAAAACATCTAAAATTATACAACTAAACAAGCAACTATTGGTTAAATCTTTTTATACTAATATAGATATTTATGTTGCATTTTGAAGATAAAATTAAAAAAAAAAAAAAAAAAAAAATTGCCCTCTTAATTTTTTTTTAATAAAATTTTTCATTTTATATTTTGGTAAACTTCTTTAAATTTTCAGATTGCTTTTGATAGTTCAATTTTCCAATAATCCGAACAGTTTCACCAGTGCCTACGACTTCAAACTGATGAGAGTCCATTGTATATTAAGTATTTAAAATTCAGCGAAGAAAGCATAAAACTATACTACTAACTACTCACTACTCTATTTGACAATATCAACTACTAAAAGAGCATGTGAATTCAAACTAATGAATAAAAAAATCTCTCTTAGCATTTTTTTTTATTAAGAGTATGAATTTTAAGAAGAGAAAGAAATTTGTTACACAAATTTTAAATCAAATTAATATATATATAAATATTAATAGATATATCCTCTGATGAATATATAGATCACAGAGTGGATACACATACACACTGATGAAATATAAACAGTAGAATAACAGAGATATTAAATTTTTATTTCTAACAATTTTTAAGAATAGTAGCATTTTATGTATGAAAATTTTTTAGCATTTAGTACAAAAAATATTTTACATGCAGAACAAAATATAAATTCATACCTCGTCATGTGTATCTGAAATGTCATCTCTGACAACTTCTGTAGCATCACTTTTAACACTGACTAGACTGACATTGGAAGGTGTTCTGTTGTGACCCATGCCAGTCCCACGAATGCGAATCATTTCATTCTGTAAGTTTTCATAGCGCTGTTCAAGTCGTGCATTTTCTTTCAATAATTTTTGATATGCAGCACGTTCAGCAGAAAACTCCTCTAGCAAAAGCCTTTTTTCACTTTCCAGAATCTCTGCAATTGTAAGAAAATCACATTATAAAAAAAAACAAATCATAAAGAAGTTAATAGAATTTTTCAAGATGAAGTATGAATAATATATCATACATTATAGTATCATAAAAAAGAACTCTTTTTCCTTATAAATGACGAAAATGAGATAAAATGAAGCCTTTAAAATTGTATATGTAAATCAAATTTCCCCATCATAATAAACATGTTTATTCATAATATGAAATATCCTTTATTTAAATGATTTTAAAATGCACAAACGGCAATAATAAATCATTGAAATTAAGACTAGAGGAGCTACTGAAAAATTATTTTTAAAAGATTCCTTGATTTTTTTGGGGAGGGGGGCAGGATTATTCATAGAAAAAGTTGTTCATAAAATACTAAAGAAACACATTCATGAAATTATTTGTTTAAATTGATACAAAGTAAGAAAACAAAATGTCTGTATACTTTTAAAAAATAAGAAAACTTTCCAGTAGTACTCCTGAAAGACGAAATTTTAGATATATTGTACAGTTTATGTTAATTAACCCATTTCCGTTTGATTTAAATCTGGGCCAACCAGCGGCCGAGTGGTGAAGGTCGCTGAACTCTGGTAGTTCCAACCTTGGTTTTGATTTCAGGCAAGCAGGCTGGTTGCTTGGCTGCATGTGTAAAATGTATACATGTATATCCTCATGTGTAACATGTATATAAGCAAGTTTCCCTTATAAAGTCCTCCACTTGGGCAGATAGCCCCAGTGTGTTTTGCCGTAATCCCAATAAACCAAACCAAACTATGATTTAAATCTATTTTATCAATTCTCCTCTTTGCAAGCTCTCACTAGGATGCAATATGGGTATTTAAGTTGGAATTTTTGAAAATTTGGCAGATAAAAATTTTTGTAGTGATGATTGCAGTTATATTTTTTTCTGACCCAGCTCTGCTACATTAGTTATCCAGCATTAGCCATTTTACTAGCTGAAGTTAAGTTGCAGACAAAATTTAAGCCAAGACTCAGTTAGGCCATTTGTATTACTCTTCTCCTATGATTCACTTTAAAATGTGAATTATGGCAGTGTTTGTGAATTTACCTTTGTTATCTAATACATGCAAACAGAGGAATTTTAATTTGTATGCACAAATCGTACAATTGTTAAGTTCAAGCATTTAATAAAAAGGTTATGTAAAATCTTCTTAGGATTTTGTTGTAATTTCACAGATGGAATGATAACTCACTTGTAAATCTAAGCTAAGGAATTTAAGTCAAATTAAAGAGTGAGCCCCACAACATATTTCTAATTTTTGTAGTTTACATTTTCAACTTCATAAAACAAAAAAACAAAAAACAAAAAAAAAAAAACTCAATAACCCTATTTTCAAAATTTAAATCATTTTGGCTTGATCTGAATATTATTATACTGTTTCTGCCAGACATGGATTATCCACAGCTCTTCAACGAAAACTGCACATTTTGAAATTTACATCAACAGCTTTTTTTTAAATCCTTCCTAGGAAAAAAAATCATTATTTACAGTGAAATATAAATCATTTAAATTAGTTCTTTTACACAGAGGTAACAGAATGATTTAACACATATATTTTCTGTTACTTTTTTCTTACAGCAGTGGTTCTCATTCTTGTAGTGATCCTTTTTTATGATGGGAGAGGGCAAATACTCACTGCTTCTTGACCATAACTCATACATTTAGCCTAAATTTTTAATAAAATTTTAACCTCTTTAGAAAGCTGACAGAGATTTATCATCATTGTTGCCAATCAATAAGTAATGTCTTCTACTACAAGACAATGACTGCTATTTTATATTTTTATAAATGTTTCAGCTTGCTCAAAAAAAAAAAAAAAAAAAAAAAAAAAAAAAAAAAAAAAAAAAGAAAAAAAAAAAAGAAAGAAAAAGGAAATTATGGAACAAATGAGAACTTCTGCAATTTATAAAACAGAGCAAAATTTCTTTTCCTGAAAATGAAGATAAAAGATTACAAGATAACTAATTTCATAAAATCACTGCATATCCTGACTTACAAAAGAACATTTTGACGATTGATTATGAAAGAATACCATAATATGCTCTACATTAAAAGATACTATGAATGAAATGCATTCCTAAATTTAACTGTTAATTTTACAAATAGCGGAATAGTGGACTTAGAAAAATTAAAATTTATGATAAATTTTATGTCAATATCATTTTTATTAATTTATATTAGGTTCCCTACAATAATTCTTATACTTAAGATTTTCATACTTTAAGAACTAATATATTTTACTTACTATTACCTGATTTACAATACTAAGCTTTAATTGCCTAGATAATGCATACTGAATGACTGGAAGTTGTGTATTATACAAAACCATACTGAAACTTTACATACCAATGGCACCTTTTTCCTTGGCTTTAATAAATTCATTCATTCTGTCTAAATCTTCTTTCAGTTTAATGTTATCCTTATTCAAATGTTCTACAATCTGTTAACAAAATTATACAAATTAAAATGGTGCGTACGGGTATATTGAACTAGCTTATACAAGATTCTTACACAATACAATTTAAATAACATACTAATATATGCCACAGCTTGACCTTTTATTCATAAAAGCTTTGAGTGCAGCTAAAATTAATTTCATCTTATCTTCACCATACTTAAAGTTTCAAAGGAACAAAAATTCAATTTTACATCAACTCAACAGCAGAGATATGTATCCAAATTATGTACACCTTGGAATACGCATATGCACACCATGGAATATTCTTTCTATAAGCAAATGTTCTTCATAGCTAATTATTTAGGGCAATTTAATGATAAATAAAATACAAATTATTAATACCTTAAATTCACATAAGCAATTTAAAAATGGACTTTATAAATGTAAGTGTATAAATGCACACACATGCACAAATAGTGCTTTTTAAGCCTGATTTACAATCTAATTAAAACTGAATAAAGTATAAAATGACTGTAAATCAGAAACTCTTCTTTTCACTGATTTATGATAATGTTTTGCTTTACTCTAACAATATTATTTATTTTTTAACCAATTTTGATGTTTACAGTTATGAAGGGAAATTTTTTTTTTTTTTTTTTTTTTTTTTTTTTTTGAAAAGCTAATTTTCCAATATACCCTTACATATAATCATACATCCTGTACTATTTACATCACTGCGATAGTAATTAAGATTCAATCTAAAATTAGATTTAATCTCTAAAAACAATCCTTAAAACAGGGGGGTGTCCAAAGAAAGTATGAATGTGGTTCAAGAAGTAAGCGCGAAGCGCAAAAGAAATTTCTTGATCCCACCTACATGATAAATTTTACTGTTGCTACCCAAGTTCAAGGCTGGCTTATAACATGGAGATGGATGGGTTATATGTCACTTTGAGCTGAAGTAAAACAAAATGCATTCTGAGAGGAGAGGCAGTTCTAGACCTATGTGCAAAATGATTATCTTCATTTTTATACATTGTTTGTGTTTGCACATATCACAAAGGTAAGGATTTCCAGCGTTTCCCATTTTAAAACTACATTGGATACCAGTGATGTTATATTTTCAAGTGCTTTAAAGTGTGTTTAAACTGGTGTGGTGTTATAAAATCCTATTTCTAGCTGTGCATGGAATTATTACCTACAGTTTTTAATATAGTTCTGCAGCTTTTGAAAGAGAGCTACCTTCTGGAGATAAATGCTTAAAAAATTAATAAAAAATAAATTAAAAAGAGTTTAAAAAATTTAGTAACAATTTGCATACAAAATTTTAAAATAAATAAATAAAATTTCTATGCCTTAAAAATATTTTACCAATATAATTAATTATAATTTTCTAGCATTTCAAACAGTATGAAGTGCAAACACTATCATAATTCAGGAACAAATACATAAATTAGTGAACTAAAATAACTGTTATTAAAAGATTTTAAAAAACTCACTTCATCTTTTTCGAGTTTCAGGAGATTCTTTTCGGTAATAACGTCTTCTTTCTCATTGCGCAACTGTTCATTTTCAGCTTTCAACATTGCAACTGTCTGTACCAATTCTGCTACTCGGTTGTCATAAGCTTTTACTGTACCTTCCAACTGCTTGATATGCTCAACTTGAGCTGTCACTTCCTTAGTATCAATCTGTTTTGTTTGCAAGTTCTTATTCTCTCTCAACTATTAAAAAAATTTGTTTTTAATTAACATGCTTTTATTCCTTCCTTGAAAAAAATAATAAAATAATAAAAAATAATAAATAAATAATTGCATTTTTGTGATGGATGTTTTTAGATACTTGATTGTAACTTCAAGTAAACTTTTTTAATCCTTCCTAATTTTACATGCAACTAAATTACCATCATTTATGTTAATTTAGAAAAAAAAAAAAAAAAAAAAATCTGTGTTATCAGATCTTCACAAATCCTTTTGACTTACTTAAAACAGTCGCTTATCCCACCTGTTGCAAACTTGGCCAGATTATATGCTCTTCCCAAAATTCATAAACGTGGTATTCCTTTCCACCCTACTGTGTCAAATTTAGGCACTGCCTCGCATCCGTTAGCTAAATATTTAGTTTCTAGATTTTTAACTCTATTAGACAATAACATTTACACCATAAAATGTTCAACAGAGTTTGTAAAAAAAGGTAAAAGCATTTCTCCTAGAAATTTACCCATGGTTTCTTTTGATGTAAAATCATTATTCACCAATGTTCCAGTGGAGGGTGAAATAAGATGTCTAGAAACCAGACTTCATGAATTTAATTTTTCCTGCATTGAGATTGATGAGCTAATTTTCCTCACTCAGCTCTGTTTGAAATAAATGTATTTTGTTTTCCAAAATAAGTATTATAAGTAAACTGAGAGATTAACCATGGGAAGCCCCCTTAATCCCCTCCTGACTGATATCTATGTGCATTATTACGAATCAAAATTCTTTAAAATTTTAAACTTCCCAGTATGGTTCCAGTATGCAGATGATACTTTTACTCTGTTTGACAGTAATAAAACTGATTGAAACAATGTTCTTTCAATAATGAATTCCACTGATCCTGCAATTCAGTTCACTTTTGAACTTGAGACATGCAATTCTCTTCCATTCCTCGACATTTAGGTCACACATAACACACCCAACTTCAGTACTACAGTTTACCATAAATCTTCATTGGTTTGCCTTCCACCATATTTCAAATCATGTCATCCCACTAAGCAAAAGTTAGCTTCAGTTTATTCCTTTGTTTTCCACGCACTTCAAGTTTGCTCCTCCAAATTGGCTCTTGATCAAGAACTAAATTATTTAAAAGCAGTAGCTATTGACAGGGGCTTTCCAATCCAACATTATTAATCAAGCAATTAAAAAATTCTCATCCGACACTGAAGCACACTCGTTTCAGGAATTATAAGAATTCGCGTCATTCCTTCCTCCATAATCATCTTGCATTGACATAGTTTCGAATTTAACTTTTGATGTTATTCTCTACAAAAATTCCGAGTTCCATACTTAAGGACCCCATTCTAGATATAATTTCCTGGGGTATTTACAGGATTCCTTGGCAGTGTGGTTTAATTTACATTGGTCAAACTAAGATACCTTAAAGTTTCTCATTAAGGAACATGAGGCATATGTTAGGAAAAAGGAAATGCTGAAGTCCTCTGTTGCCCAGCACTCTTGGTCCGAAAAATTTTCTGCAGCCAAAATTATTCAAAAACCATCTTCCATTGGTTAATTAGATTTTCTAGAGGCGTTTCACATTCACAAAATCTTTCTGTTCTAGTTAATGACCCTAATTCCAATCCATCTTTACTTTCAACCTTTTCTTGTTTCATCAATAGCTTAACTCATGTCCAGCCAATCTTAGCTTATATCATATCTCATTCATTTGCACTTTGGCAGCTAAGGATGATGGTTTGGTAAAACCCTCAAAACCAGTCCTGTGAAAATTTTTCAAATATAATGCTAATTATTGTTGTTTGACTTCTAAATTAATATTTGTTTGGCATGTTATTTTACCTTAACATTTATGTTATTAAAAGCATAACTAAAATGAAAATTTATTTTCACATGGTAATGAAAAAGAGCTTGCATACCATTTATTAACTCAAACCCTGTTTACTTAAAAATTTAAACAAATTGCATACAACGCTATTTTTGAGATTAGTAAAGTAGTGTATGATTAAGAGATTACCAAAATTTTGCATGAATTTAAAAAAGTGCAATCTTAAAATTTCTGATTACTGCCTAACATAATGCAGGTTTTACTATTAATGTTCCAAAAAATTTACAAAAAAAATTTTTTTTAATTAAAAAATATAAAAGGTTTAACATTAGAAACAAACTGCAATCTGATCTTGACATACAGATTTCAGTTAAATACACGAAACAGTCAAAGCCTAAACATTTAACAAAGGCTGATTAATTTAAGAATTAGTTCCCAGAAACTAAAGCTATTAAACATAAAAATCTTATATTTAAAATGAGCTGTTCAAAATGGTAAAGCCAAATATAGGGAAAAAAATTGCTAGGATATTATTTCACAGCAAAATTAATGCCACATGCAGACTACTATACTTATTTAGTAAAAGATAGATTTAATTATTTAAAACAAAGCTATGAATTTATTTCATTGGACTGCTTTCAAACAAATATTTTCCTCACATGTGATACCTTCTGTTTTTCAAGGACGTAAAATCTGCTTAGTGAAAGTAATAAACATTTCACAGATGTTTCCTTTGAGGTGCCTTAACAATACTTTTGTTGTTGTGGAAAATGCTATATTTCTAGGTTGATTCTGGCATTTTCACTACATTTAACTACTTATCATTGGATGCTCCTTCAAGCATCTTTATTTCATTATACAATTTTAAGGATTCAGAAATATCTTATTTAATTTATGTGGTAGAATGAGATCTTTAAAACAAAATGGTTCTTCGATGGAGCTGTGCTCACAGAAACACTGAGCAAAACCAGATTAGTACACTTACAAGGAATAATTTTGATAAATATCTTTGATAAATATCTATAAATTCCTGATTTTATTTTCAACTATTTTTATACTAACATTATAATTTTATGCAAAACTTTTATTTACTTTTAAGCTACAAAGTTATATGTAGCTATAAAAAAATTGCTCTTTTTTTTTTTTTTTTTTTTTTTTTTTTTCCCCTTAAAAATGCTTTTAGTTTACAGCTGTAGAATTTAATTCATATCCTTATAAAGAAAACTATTTTTCCCATCGCTATATGAATTTAATATTAAGAACTGATTACGGATTCCCCCTTTATTATATTATAGATAAAAGAATAAGAAGAAAATAAATAAATAAAATTTTTAAAATTTAAGAAAAGGGGGAGAAAATTTTTATATTACTCTTTTTATTTATTTTACATTGGTCAAACTAAGATACCTTAGAATTTCTCATTAAGGAACACGAGGCATATGTTAGGAAAAAGGAAACACTGAACTCCTCTATTGCCCAGCATTGTTGGTCCGAAAGTTGATATGTCTTGTGGGTTTGAAAACTATTGGCATTCTTAAAAATGCCATCAATTTATTAATTCTTTTAGAATATTTACATACTGAGAAGGTCAATATGAGAATACTTAGAAGAAATTGAAAATTAAAATGCTGAACAGTCATCACAGAATTGAAAAATTTACAATTAATAAATTGATGGCTTTTGAAAGGATGCAATAGCCTTACAGCAACTTAAAAACAAGGACTTTGTTTTTCTACATTTCTCCTCTTCTTCACCCTTTATATATAAGGTGTGATAAGTCTAAATTTAAATCTAAGTTCAATAAATTAAGAATTATCTGTAAGCAACTTTTAAGAGCAAGCACTGACTTATTCTAATTCAACACTTTAAACCTCAAAATAAATTATTCTCAATGTATATTTTTTCAAATATTCTTCCAAAAAAGATACAGTTTTTTGAAACATGGGCCCATACCTTTCAGAATAGTATAATGATCAGTCTATATAGTTTCCTCCTGTTGTTATTTAGATTTATAAAGATAAAATTTTTACTATTGTTTAAGATAATGATTATTTCCAATTCTGAAAACAGCACAGCTATATTAACGCTTCAGCTGATTACATTCATAAAATTTTACAGTTACCGAACTATAGGGGCCAGAGAATGAAACTATGAAAACTTCCCAAAGTGTAACATTAAACAAGGAGAAAACAAAACTCAAGGGTTATCTCATTGATAAGATATTTCACTGAGAATTTTCTCTAAGAAAACATTTTTGCTCCATCATAGAAGAGGAGCATAATTAAAATATCCCTGCAGCCACTCTATACAACCACGAAGCACTAAACCTGAGAAATATCTAGAGACATTTATTTTCTTTAGTTACTCAGCCAATGATGAATAAAACTTGAAAAAAGTACACTAATGAGATGACAAAAAACGAATCAAATTAAGTAATGTTTTTCATTATATGATAAAGTTGAATATCTAGAATTTATCTGAGTAAAACAGCCCAAAAACTAAATTTCAAATACACAGAGATTATTACTCAAAATTGACATTCACTGAAGTGACATAGTCATTATCACTCAAATTGACATCATATGATATCCTAGGTAGGTTGCACTACACAGCTTAGAATGGTAGTAATAACATTCTTCCACATGCAGCAAATTTTTTCATGGTGCTATGATTAATGCTTAATCTCTTAAGTTTATATGCATGGCTTAAAATACTTTTGTCCTTCCATTATGTTAAAACTGTTTACTGCTTTTAAAGAAATGAAAATATTAAGTAAGCATATATAAATGTTTTTGTGTTGTAAATTTTACATATTTTTTGGAATAAAACTTGAAATGTTTAAATCACTAAATAAAGAAACTGAATGCTTACATGTTCATAAAAAGCAATTTTACTAGTTTATATAATAAGAGCAAAAATTTTAAATTTAAACTTACCAACTCTTCTATTTTTTGTTGCAATGAGATGATCTTATTCTCTAAACCTTTGTTCAGTTTCTTCACATGTTCTACGGATTTAGCTTCAATCTGCAAATACATATATATATCAGCATTCAATTTAAATACCTGCATGTAAATAATTATTGGAAGCATTTACATAAAGTATTACACTAACAAAATAAAATTGTAATTTTCTAATTAAGTAGAAAATAAAAAATGAAATTTTCCTTTCATACTGGAAAGATACCATTTTATTTAAACTACAGGACATTCTATGATAAAATATTCAAGAAATAAACTGAATCAACTCTTTTATAATATACAATTGTAATTAATATCAATGATATAATTATTAGGAGAATACAATACACATTATAAAAAATCACCTTCAGTTTCTTGAGTTCTTTCCTAGCAAACCACCTGCGTACCGATGATTGACAAATGATGATACTTTTGCGCGATTTCTGATATTTGGAGCGAGCAACAAAGCCACGAACATATTTCTGAAAAAAATATGAAAGAAAGAATTATGATTAGATGCGGAAAACAATACTTTTAGAAATATCTTAAGAATTAATCATATTAATATCTTTAAAAAGCTAATATCATGTCAAAGTCCACACCTTGAAAATTTGTATTCATTCCAGTTATTTGAACATATAACAGCAAGAACTGAAAAATAAGCATATTTACTGTGTATTCTGACCTTTTTCAATAATTTTATTGAAAATAAAAACAGGAAAATATGCAGCATATGCCATTTCAATGAAGTGGCTTAGAGAGAGAGATAACTTGATTCAATCATGTTTATATGTATACATGAGTTCTTTTTATTATTATTTTATTTCCACATGATGTATTGTCACTCATCCCTTGAAATTACTGCAAAAAAGCAAACTTCTTATTAGCCTACATAATTTACTTGTGGAGGTTATTAATAAAAGCCTATTTCAATAAAATTTTTAAAGGAATAACAGAAGAAAGAAACTATACAATATATGTTCAGATGCCCAATCTGACTATAACTAGTGGCTGCAGATGAACTGCAAAAGGAAAGAAAAATATATGCTATTCAGCCACTGCAACTACTTTACATCTATTTCCAGGCAGAAAAAAGCTTACACTTTCTTTACACACATATCTTACGACTGAATCTCCACGATATTTTGCCTACGTACTGTGTCCACTCAAACTTACTTTTTATTTCTAAAGGAATGAGGATGAACGGGCTTTACTGCAGTTTTGAAAAGTTGAATAAACAACTCTGAATTTTCATATGCAAAGAATATGAGTCAGAAATTCTACAGAAACTAGCTATTTTGGGGCAGGAAACTACAACCATATCTTGAACTCAAAGTAAGTTGAATGCTTTGCAAGTAGACCAAAAGTTGTTAAATTGTGCACAAAAAAAAAAAAAAAAAGGCAAAAATATGAAATGAATGAAAATATGAAAAATATGGCCCTGTACATTATGCAATTAAAGATAATGTATATTTTTATTTGCATTATTTTCAAAAATAATTTCTAAAAAATTAAATAATTTTAAATTACATAAACAATAAAAAAATCATCACCATACTTTCTATTAGTAAAACCTAGAAAAATTCTTGTTTTCTGTTTCTCGGTGCATAATTATGTTTATTGTAATTATACTTGCAGAATTAAGTATAAGAACTAATAAAAATAATAATATAGTTCAGAAAATTATGCATCACTTGTCATTATATAATACATTATTGTCAGTATGTTGAGAAAGACTTCATTTACTTAATGTTTAAATGTGTAACTTAGATCATAATTAACTACATTTTATATGAACTTTTTTACATGAAGATATATTCTTGGTCCATTGTTTTAAGATGCAAACAAAGATGAGGAGGTTGTAGTGATTTTGTAGTGATATGCTCACTTGGTACTGTTTGGTAAGTAGCTGCTTGCTCGAGTCACCATCTAGCACCTAGCATCTAGAACCAATGACAGCGCGCAAGTTTTGCGCGCCCTTGAAGATAATAATGACCTAAGAATTCGATCCTGTATCTGTTTCATGTGAGTCAAATTCTCAACCACTAGTACAAAAGAGCTCCTGGCTAGGTTCAAGAATTTTGACTCTCTCAAATTTGTGAGTGTTGAGAGGCTCTGGAGATTGCTATACACTATTGCAGAGTAAGCTCAGAAATGCACCAGTTTTGCATTTTGTGGAAGTGTTGTTATGTTGGATATGATTTATAAATTTGTCCTCTGCCTCACTACAAAACCTCACCATTAAAAATTTCTACAGGGTAAAAAAAAAAAAAAAAAAAAATACAGTTAAGAGAACTGCTAACTTATCATGAAAACTAATTATGATGTTACAGCTTTTAATATTGAGTTTTATGAATACTTTGATGAGTTATGGCTGCAAAGTGCAACAGAGGCATACCTGAAACTGAATTGAGGCAAATTATAACTGTTTAAGTAACAACTTCAGACATTAGAATCAAAATCATCATTTAAAGATCAGATTTATGAAAATTCAATGCATGTGCATTAAACAAAGAACTTAAGAACACAGTGCATTTGTATTTTAATATAATATCTGTATTCCACACTTGTAAAACTGCACTTTGCTTAAATTTCAATGACACAAGTAAGGAATCATAATAAATATTGATTACATGATATTACAGCAAAGTTTCTTCATGGCAAAAACAAAATCTACTTTTTCATAAACATTAATAGAAAACACAGATTCTAGGTTAATATGCCATGTACTTGGCCTAATAATTTGCAGCATTTCAATGTTACAGTACTTTTGACTCTCAGAGATTTCCTCTTCAACTTAAATATATAAATTAAAGCATAAGAAATTAACCACTAAAAAATTAAAATTAGTCAAAATAGCAAACTTATGCTAGGTATAAATTTTAATCAAAACTCTATCAATTTGGAGGGCAAATACTCTATTGGTTTCGAGGGCGATTTCTACACCAAACATACCTTTGTTGTTTTGCTTAATTTTAAGCTTTATATTGCCATGTTTCCCTTCTTCCTTCACTAAAACAATTTTGCTTTCCTACATTAGGCACTGGGAATTCCTGGCTTTCAAAAATCTCATTTGTTTCCAACTGCATTTTCCACAGTACATTGGAAAATTTTTCACAATTACATTCACGTATTAACTATAGCCATATTATATTTGTACATTAAAATAGCATACAAATTTTTAAATCTCTCTGGCTTCATGCACCTAGAAAACACACTAATTCCAAAATACTAACTTTAGAAATGTATTCAATAAGGAATTTTTAATGAATAAGCACATAAGAACAAACATGTAAGCACATTTTTTATAAAAATTGTCATAAAAACTTTTAAAAAACAACATTATGCATAAATAAATATAGAATTACTATTGTAAATTATTATAATATTGTGTTACTACTAATCTATATTTATGTATATGAAAAGTAGTGTCCTAATATAGGAAAACCACATGGGAGCTTTGGTTAAGTATTAATTTAAGTATTTAGGTTTAGATAATAGAAACCCTTATGCCAAAAAAGTATATCTGTGATTCAGATAAATCAAAATAAATGAAACAAAGGAACTCACTTGAATAATAACAGCCGCAGCATTCCTACGCATTTGCTGAAACCTGAGACGAGCCCACATGCCTCTGGCAAAAGTTTGCAATCCAAGAACAACACGACAGGTGCGCTGAAATTTTTTTTGCTGAATAAACATTCGTACTGTTTTCTGAATAATAATGGCAGCTCTTGTCCTTCGTAAAAAGGATGTATACCTATAAAAAATAAAAGCATTGCATTTAGATGTTTACCATACAAAGATACATGAAGGAATAAGAGATGAGATGATGTTTTGCATATTGCGTACAAATCTGATATACTCTGTACCTTTACAGTAAATAAATAAATTTTATATAATTTTACAGACTTAAAACTAAACTTATACATAATTTGATACTCCTAATGAAAAATTATATTTGATATACATTCAAAAAATACCACTTAGCTTTTATTATTTTAAGAACTGATAAAGAAACGGAGATCAATAACCCTTTTTATTCATGCCACAGATCTCTGAATATATATAAGCTATTCCATGCTATCTGGTTTACGTTCACAAAAATGAAAATACCATTTTGATATTAGAAGTCCTTTTCTAATTCACAGTAATTGAAATAATATAATCTCCTTAAAATACAATAACAAAACTAAATTTATTAATTCATAACTAAAGAGCCCACCTTACTATTTTTGTTGCCATTTTGACTATGTTGGTAAGATGCAAAAATAATTGTGTCTTTTTTTTTACAGTTAACTTCCTTGCAGTTTCCAAAATAAAACACACCTCAAATCATTTTAAAACATTTTTACAAAATGAAATTTAATTAATATGACATATGATTTTAGTAAGAAAAATTATCTTACTAGAATAAATAACAGCATATCTTAAATTTTTAATTTTTTTTAAATAAATATTATTAATAATGATAATATATTTAATAAAGCTTGGAAGTATAAGTGCTAAAAACAAAAATGTCATTAAAATTGTTAAAACAGGTTCTTATAAAAATGAATTAATTAAAAATAAATTGTAAAAATTTAAACCATCAAATTAAAGAATAAGCAAATAGTATCATATAAGAATGAAAACTTAATTGTTTTCATAAATCATAACCTTCAAACATTACTTCAGTATTTTGTTAATGTTCAGTATTTTGCCCATTCCAGAAAATTCTGTACAAATTATGTACATGTAATTCAAATCTTATTTATGAAATTATACATTATTCCTATTATATACTACTACTACAAGATTTTTTGTACACAATCTGAAAACCATGGTGTATGTCAGATAAAATATATTTGAATTGAAAAACAATCATTCCATGTCAACTGATAAGCATACTTGAAACAGCTTATTTACTGTACATGAAAAAGTACATCTTTGGTAGAAAAGTTACAAAGAATTTTTCCAGTGTCTTCAGAATCTTGATTTCATGTGATAACTTTTTAATATTCTGGGTTTCTTTTCCATTAAAACCAAACTACTTTGCATTTTTTTTGTTTGTTTTTGTTTTGTTTTGGCATATTTCCTCAGTGGCAGGCATCAATTATTTTGTTTGGGTTCTTTCCTGGCAACGATTGTGGTTAAAACCCTTTCTAGCTTTTTTTTTTAATGTGTATGTGTATGTGAGTGGTAGATTTTACTATTTGGAATTTGGAATAATTCCTAGTAAGTCATTATTTCATTGATCTGAACATTAAACATCTATCTAGTGATTTCATCAAGAAACAGTGCTTTATATCTCACATATATACCAGAAAAACAATTTTATCTGATGCACTCAATCCACATTCAAATGTGTAACACCGCACTTAATAATACTTCATAATTCATCATAAACTTATTCTAATTTTAAGAAATAGCAAGTTAAATCTTTTAATGCATACATTTAAAAACTTCAACATGTTTACCTTCTCGCCAGTAATCCTCGGGCATATCTTTGTATTCCAACAGCCGAGCGCCGTATCTGTCTGTACTTCCTCAAATGTAACCAGCCACGAATATGTTTCTGAACCATGACTGCACATGCTCGTAATTTATCAGCTCTAAGCTTTTCCAAATAAGCAACTTGACCAGCACGAAAAAATATCTTTGTTTTCCCAAACTGAAATTTATCCTCTTCCTACATAAATGTATAGATAATTATTTGCACTTATTTTCAGAAAACAATAATGAAAGAACAGAAAATTAAAAATACAAATTCAAATAAAATTTTAAGGTTCAATAAATAAAAATGAAGAATACTATAAATCTAGTAAATTCCTAGACAAAATTTACCAAAATATTTATTCACTCATGTAACATGAGTCTATATAAATGGAATTCTGACTGTGATGAACTTCTAGAAATAGAAAGGCAAAACTCCGAAGAACATTTATTTGTCCAGACTGAAGAACCTCCTATTAAAACACTAGGTATGGTTTGGAATTCGAAAGAAGATACATTTTTTTAAGTTACAATAAAAATGTAGGTTGTTTATACCAAACAAGACATTTTATCAATTATAGCTAAATGATGCATTTGGTTTTATTAGACCTACAGAAAAATTATTATTTTGCATGTTAAATAAACATCTACTATACACATTACATTTTGTAAAAGAAAAGCTTTATGAAATGGTTGCAAATTTTCCAGTTAACAGAAGAGATGAAGATGATATATTATGAGCACTCACTGCAATTATAATAAACGGGGAAAAAAAGAAAATCCTTTGATAAATGAATTGCAATCAGAAATGTTGAATTAGTGGTAATACCCCAAAACCTTTTTATGAATTTAATAAATTTGTTTAAAGTTGCTAAATTTAAAAGTTTGATATAACATATTGCCTAATAATTAGTTTGATTATTAATTTAAAAACTGGAAAATCAAGAAATTATGTATTATTATGGATAATAATAGAGCAGACAATTTTACAGAACAAGGTAACAAATATGTTACATAGTAAACCTATGACCAAATAAAATGAACTATGCCATTCACAGAATTAAGATTTTATACTGATTCTCTATGTTAGTTGGATACATATCATTCACATGAAAAATTACCTATGCTCACCTATCAAAAATAAACATTTTTTCCCCATATTTAATGTAAATATATTTCTCTCACTTATTTTATAACATATCATTTCGATGTAATTTATTTCATTTATAAATTTATTTTCCAGTATATATTCAAGTTTAGCAAGATTTCACAAGTACAGTGTGCAGAAAGATAAACTTACTTATGATATTTTCTTTTTAGGATGTTAAAATATTTTTTTAAAGGGGGTTGATTTGAAAACTACTTTGAAGATAGATTTAAAAATAATTCTTTACATGTATTTTAATCATTTAGATTTTAAATATATGCTTTGAAATCATTATTTGTATTTGAGACAATCTACAATTCTCTAAAATTATTCATATGAAGAACAATTTATAAGAATAAACATATATATATATATATATATATATATTGATTTCAATTGAAAAAATAAGATTTATGATGCAAGTTCAAAGAACAGCATTTACATAAACTATATAACTGTAAAAAAGTTACACATTTACACTGATAATTTTTAATTCTAACAAAAAATGCCATTAAATTTAAATAAATATATTTTAAATAAAAAACTTACTCCTTTCCTAAAGAATGCATGTTGCTAAGAAGAAAATGAATGAAGATGAAAGAATTTGCATGGAAAATGGAGAATGATTATCAAAAGAAAATTTAAATCAAGGTGCCCAACCCATGGCCTGCATGTGGCCCAAAATGAGTATCAGTGCAGCTCAAGAAACATGCATGAAGTGCACAAGAAATATAGAGACCCCATTTTGATGATAAACTTTACTGTTGTTATCGGGGATTCAACGCTAGCTTAAAACATGGACGGGTAATTTACTTGATGTTTCAAGTTGGAGCAGCATACAATGTATTTGAGTGGAACGGTAGTTTCAGATCTTCTTTTAACTTGTGCATAAAGTGATTATCTTCTTTTTGAAACACCGTTTGTGTTTGTACATATCTATGCTGGTGTTATACGAAAGAAATAAGTCTATGCTACTGTCATTATATTACAAAAATCATAACTTTATAAATCTTAAGTTACTTAAATATGTTTTTACACTTATTTGTGTTCATTTCTTATGCTTTTCTTTTTATTACACACCATGCAACTTTTCTCCTATGAACAGAAAGATGTGAAATTCAAAAATTTCTTTCAGTAGTTAAACTGAGTAAACCTGAAAATTTTCAATGAAACCTATGCAGTTGTGTGATTTACTTATTCTGGATCTCATAAGCTGCCAATGTGTTTGAAATAATTTGTATGGCTCAAAATACCTCATCTTCTTTCAATGTAGCCCACGGAAGCTCAAAGGTTGGACACCTCTGAATTAAAATGAGACAATTACACAGAATTTTTAACAAAATCAGGTACTGTTTGTTCTGTTATCAGGATCGGATACAGAAATGTATGTATGCATGTAACATATGGATGTATGTACTCATGTATGCATGTATATATGTAAACACGAATGTATGTGTATGTATACATATACACATACTATATGCACACACATACATACACAAAAGCATACATTCATACATTTCTGAAACCAGTCCCCATAACAGAACAGTAACCAAAATCATACACCTTTTAAATTAAAAATATTTATTTCAAATTCTGCCATCACTATACATATCAAGTACTGGGGCTGGGACAAATAAAAAAGACTAATACTGGAGCTACTTGAAAAAGAAAATAAGTACATCACTTACAGATCTTATACTTAAGTTCCTTTGAAGTAGCCACCACTTGTACTGGGGCTGGGACATATAAAAAAGTACTGGGACTGGAGCTACTTGAAAAAGAAAATAAGTACATCACTTACAGATCTGATACCTAAGTTCCTTTGAAGTAGTCACCACTTAAATTTACATACTTTATTTCAACACTACTTCCTTACTACTTCCCAACATTACTTAGCACAAACTTATTCTCATAATGATGATCTACTAAAATAAATGGGAATAATCTGTACCTAATCCTGAGCTCTTAAGATATCTTGTGAACAGTCAGTTGACAGATTTTTGTTGCATTATTGAATGCAGATCTTCATTATTTTTCTCAGTTGTGCTGGTTACTGGTCTTATGGAACATTTGACACTTTTGAAACATTCGCACTGCTCATAAGCCTATGTGCACCTCATAAAAATCCTTCCCACAAATTTTCTGCAACTTTATGCATGTCTCTGTGCATAAATCACCAAGTTTTTGTCAAAATTTGATGAAAAATCTCCACTCAACTTTCTTTGCAATGGTGAATACAATGACAAGACACTGCATGTTCATTCAAACATGCCTATAAACAAATAAAATGAACTAAGATATTATACATCAGAGCACATGCACAGCATGGTCCAAGATCAATCTGTATCAAGCAGGTTTGCTCTAAGTGTATGTCATAATCCCAAAACCTTTTGATCACATCTCATAGGCAAGAATTTAGCTTAAATAATTAAATAAAATAGGCAGCTTAAATAAAATTTTCTATCTGATATAAAATAATAATAAAATTATTTGGCTACAAAGTCTGCAACAAAAATTAACAATAGATTTGATCTGGTTATGAGGTGATTACCAAGCAGTAGTAACAAAGTTAATTGAAACTCCCTTTTTCACCCCAGTTTTGATGAAATAACTCTAATAAATATTAAAACAAAATTAAGAGCATAATAATCAACAGTAATAAAACCACAGTTCATTAATTTATCCACAGCTCATATTGCCCCAACATGGTGGCAGCTGAAAAGCCAATGTAAACTGACCATCTGACAAGAAAATGGCACTAAAAATTCCAGAAGCTAAATCATTCAAATTGTGCTGGAAGTGTAATAATTGTAAGAAACAAAGTTACACAAAAATCTTATAGGAAAGTATAATTATTAGTGAAAGTTATTATACATAACAAAATATGCAAGAATATTTGAATCCACTGGATAACATTGGAAGTGATCACTTACCTATACTGACTGAATATAATTTGTTATTAAGGATGAATGTTACTAAAAGAAGTTACTAGAATTTTAAAAAGGGTAATTCAGTGCTCTTCATCAAACAATTTCTAAAACTACTGTGAATACGACTTTTCACAATGATTTAGAACAACAATGGCTCTGTCTCAGAGAAATAATTTTAAAAGCTGCTAAGTCAGCTAGAAGAAGAAGATGGATCGATATCTGTGAAAGCATTAATGCTAGGACATCAAATACAAAATTATGGAAATTGGCTAAGGCTTTTAACAATGAACAACCTCAATTTGAGAAATCAAATTGTGTTTTTACTGATGACTCATATTTGCCTTTGAATGACCAAGAATCAGCTGATGTATTCGGAAAGCATTATAGTCGAGACATTGAGCTTGATTTTACAAAGGACAACAAAAACATAGCCTTCAGGACTAGAAATACAGCTCATCATTGTTGTAATGTTAAGTCAAAGAACGCAGTCTCCTGGCCCTGGTCGATGGCATGGACTGATGATTACACGTATTGGTTCTTGTGATAAACAAGAATTAACATATTTAATCAATCCTGTAATAATGGTAGGTTACAAGGAACTGGAAAAGAGCCACAGTGGTTCCTATTCAGAAATTCTATAAATCCGCTGGTACTCTGGAGAGCTACACAGCTGTTGCCCTGACAAACTTACAACAAGCTTTTTGAGAAACTTTTATTGAATTGCCTTAGCTATCACTTTGCAACTACCGATGGAACAAAATGGTTTTAGTAAAGGTCATGTACTCAAGATCAGACACTGGAGTTTTGTCAGCATGTAAAAGATGCTCATAATAAAAATCCAACTAATCATTCCAATGCAGCTCTTTTGGAGATCAACTAGGCTTTTGATATGGAAGAAGAGATTAATCAATAAATTATACGAAAATTTTGCTATTAATGCAAGACTTTAGACTAAACTTGCAAGACTCTTTTGTGGATTTACGATTTCCTCACAAATAGAGTTTTCAATGTTAAATAAAATGGTGCTCTCTGGTAGATAATGTTCAAAGCAAGAAATCCCTCATGGCTCTGTATCAAGTCCCATCTCCGGAATGGAATCTATTATTACTCACAATTTCAAAATTAATTTATTTGCTGATGACATTGTACTTTGTTGTCTTGGTTCAAACAATGACAATTTTGAATCTAGTATAAGCAATTCAATTTGGGATTTAATTTTAATCTTAGTGAAAAACTTAAATAAATCTATAAGAGTTCTTTACAACAAATAGCTATATAGTTACAGTTCGAAAATTTTCTTAAATGGTCACCTCTTACAGTGTGACAGGAATCCCAAATATCTTGATTTTGCTGATGCCAAGACCCTAAGGACAACTTATATCTGCTTTATAAAATTGATTCTTGAATATAGTTTTCAAATCAATCGTGTCACCTCAGATCACATCTTCAAAAAATGGGAAGGGTACAGTTGAGTGCAGCTCACCTTATTAAAAGACTTTGCAACAGTACTTCAGATGAAATCGTTCTCTATGAGGCTGACTTGCAACCCTTGCAGTTGAGAAGTATCCTTAATTTTACTACATACTTTAACGAACTCTTAAGTTTTCATGATCAACATCATACTACAATCTTTTTGAATGGTTGGTAAAATAATCAAAGATTAAAAAGGAATGGTCCTTTCAGTCATGCTACGAAATTAAGATGTATTACAGAGAGTTGGATGTAATTCTTTGAAACCTATCGCATCCCCAATGGACTCACTATCTGTTTTTTTTTTTTTTTTTCCATACAATTATTGACTATTATTAATTAGTCCTCTCAACATCCTGAATACTTACGACAGGCTGCTCTGGAAGTGATTAATAGAATACCTGTTGAGGCAGTTCTGATATATACAGACAGCGGTAAGAATGAACATGGACACCTTGGTAGTTAGTATTTTGTTAAATATGGAGAGGAAGAAATATCTTTCAAGCATAGAAATACCAATTTCTGTTCAGTTTTTAGCTCTGAATCAATTGCTATTGATATGGCTTTGGATATGTTTTACGTGGGGAGACCTGGATCTTTTATGGAAGTGTTATCCAATACCTATATAACTAGAGAAATATTAGAGACCTGACAGGAATGAAAGTTATTGAAAAACCCAAGACCTTGTCCCATTCTTCCGTCCTCCATCTACAATGGATACCATATCACATAAATCTAAAATATAATCATGTAACTGATGGACTAGCAAAGAAGGGTACTTCCATGCCTCAGGTTTATGCTGAACCTTTGACCTACCTTGAACTATACTCAAGAAGAAAGACTAATTAACAATTCTTGGAGACAGCTACCGATACACTCATGGTATCATAGTACAGGTCTTGGTACAGCAACTGGTTTCAAGCATGACAGGAAGGACTAAATGGCTCTGGCTCGGTTGGCTTCAGGACATTTAAGGACCTTCATATTCCCAAGGTACTAACATTTTTTCTCACTTGCACAAAATGTAAAAATTATGGAGCTACTGCACAGCATCTATTTAGCTGTGTTACCTTGGTATGTGAAGATCTCCTGAAGAGACCCAATTTCATGTTGGAAATTCTGAAGGTGAATGAACTTATGGATCTGATCTGGTTCAGATCAGAGGGATTAGTAAGAAGAACAACAACAAAACACAACTGCCAAAATTATGTAAAACACACAGGCAACTTTGAATGCTTCAATATCAACAAGAACAATTTCTAGAGGATTAAATGAAAGTGGCTTGCAGTCATGTTCCCCTTTACAAAGACTCCAATGGATGCAAAGCCAGTGACATCAATGACTGTAATGATTGTTGGGGCAGAACCAGCTAGACAATCAAATGGCACAGGGTAGTACATAGTGATGTGCTTCCCTTCTGTTTCATTAATGACAACTGTTGAACAAGAATCTACACTGCTGTGGTACAGAGACAAATTCAACCATGCTGTGGATGTTTAATGCTACAATTGCACAACACAACTTCATGTCTTGGAGTGTCATCACCATGAATAGCTGGTCACTTCTGGTTCATTTAGAGTCACAATGATGCCCAAAAAATATGTGAATGAAGCACTGCAACCAAAAAAACCTACCCTAACTTCAACAATAGCAAAATACTATTGACACCACATGGCAGACATCCACAGACAACAGCTATATGTTTTACGTGGGGAGACCTGGATCTTTTATGGAAGTGTTATCCAATACCTATATAACTAGAGAAATATTAGAGACCTGACAGGAATGAAAGTTATTGAAGACCTACAATGCAGCTATATGTTTCCTTGATCATCAAGATCTCCAATTCTCATAATGATCAAACATTTGTTGGATGTGATTAGCTGTTGAACAAAGGAGGATGCCTGTAAGCATATGGTCATCCATCTAAGCACATTATCCATATTTTGAATTAATTTGCACCTTGAAAAGTTACTTCTTGCACTGCCATAAAAAGTGATTCTACTTCCTATATATCATCTTTATATGCCATTGCTGTACAGCATTATTTTTATTTAATTATAAACACTTCTTTATATACGCATTCTCAGTTTGCCAATTTTAATCACATCCGTTTACTCTTTGATGGTACTGCATTTTCTCTGTCAGGCAGTATATTAAAGAGTATATTCAGATGTTATATACCTTAAGTCTGTGCTTGCTAATAACATACAGTACACCAATGAATCATTACACATCATGAAAACACGAATGCACATATCTGGGATTCCCAAATGCAATCATGATGAAAGATACTCCAAGTAACAAAGGCAAACAGTGAATAAAGTAGACAGGAAAATATTAGACCTAATATCAAACATTTTCATAAAAAAGAATTATTATACAGATGCTTATAAATTAATACCTTACAATTAAAACCATTCCAAAATCTATACAAATTCAATAACAATTAAAAAATCAAAATTCTGCTATTCTTTAACTTACATTTCCAACAAAAAAATAATCAATGATTTGTTTGATTTATCTAATTACGGCAAAACACTCGAGGGCTATCTGCCTAAGGGCTAGGATGCGATACCTTTGTGGAGGACTTTCTAAGGCAAACTGGCTTGTAAACACATTATGCATGGGGGAAAATATAATAATGCATATGCAGCAAGCTCATTAGCTGGGATTCAAACCCCACACCAAACTACCAGTGTTCAGTGACTTAGACTGCTTGGCTGCTGGTTAGCAGTAATGAATGAAATATGTAAAGAAATATAAAATAGATACATACCCTGACAAGATTTTCTAATATTTTTTGGCATGTAGTTTTCAAATCTGCTCGCTTAATATCCTTAGAACATGTAAGAACTCGATACCGATTCAAGAAGTCTTGGTATGCCCACCTATTGTACACAATTGTGAACAAAATATAAAGTACAATTTTGAAGTTGCATGAATAAATATAAAAATGTATTATTTAAAGGTATAGTTAACTCTTGATTAACAGGGTGTGGATTTACTGAACCTTGTCTTTGTTTATTGAAAACAATTGAAAAATTATCAACAAACCATCAAAAAAAAACACAATTTTTACAGCAAGTTTGAAAAGAAGAAGAAAATGCATGGGATAGTAGCAGTAATAGAAAATGTTTTCATCCACAACAGTTCATACTTTAATTGTAAACTATCTGGAAAATATAAATATTGTTTTATCATCAATTAAAAATAAATTAGTAAATCACTAAAATAAGTTATAAACATTCTATTTTTCATAGACTCCTATCGAAATACAAAAACAATATAAACAAAAACACTTTTTTTTTTCCTGTTTTTAAGTGTGTTCTTGTTTAGAATATTAATTCAATATATGTAAAACCAAATGAACTTATTATCCAAATTAAACTGCCAAAATATAGGCAAATTGTTGATTATACATCTACCCCTTTCCTATGTTTTTTTTAATTACTGTCATATTAACGAACTGAGGTAATTATCCCTAGTGTTGATAGGAATCTCTGGTTATAAATTTATGCACATAATTCTCAAAGACATTGAGAAAAGGGGGGAACTTAAATGTTTAGACAATATAGAAAAATATGTATCAAGAAGATGAATATATCCCATCTCATATAACTCAGCTTAAAAAAAAAGAACTATACATATGATACTGCTAAACCTTTGAACTTTGACCCTTAAATCCTTTGAAGCCTTTTCCAACTACAAAGTTTAAGAGCATTAATTAATCAGCATGAAACGACATTTGGACAGACAGACAGAGAAGAAAAATTGTTGCTTGTATATCAAAAACAATTCTACTCTGTATATTCACATTTCGTAAATGTAGCAGTGCGCAATTGCAGAGTGTGATGTTGTATTGTACTTTAACATCTGTAAAATTTTAATTTCCAATGCATTTACAATTTTAGTTTAAAAAGTGTTAGCCCTCACTTCAAGTGAACAGCATAATCTTAAACCTCACTAAAATCTCGATGGCAGATAATTTTATTCCAAAACTCAATGGCAGACGATAATTTTATTCCAAATGCGTGAGCACTTTTATTTTTTGTATTGTGGCAATTTCAGTTGCTGTGTTCTTTTTTGATAGTGACAAAATAAATGGAATTCTGAATAATCCTAAATGAATGAGATACTACAAAAGATACATTTCTTACAGTAGTGTATTAAAAATAATCTTTTCTTGGACTCTGAAGTTAGAATTTTGGAGCTGTGAGAGAATGGCGAGCTTCACTAACTTCCAATATTGCGAAATGTGCTTACTTACAGCGACTGCCAACAAAACACAATGCATGCTGCTCATTTTCCAGCTGAGCCACATCTAAGTGCGGTTGCCATCGCAAATGTAGTGGGACACCTCAGGGAGACAGGAAGCACTAGAAGTCATCTGCATTCCGGTAGACCAACGACAGCAGGTATGCAGGAGAGTACTTTGGCATATGCACTAGCCCATTCACATAGCAGTACAAGAGATATTAGCATGCCTTGTGGCTTATGGCCCCGAGTATGACAAATACTGCATGGTCAACATGCAAACCCCTATTATATCACTCTGCAACAAGCACCATTAGCACAGGATAATAAGCATCAATTTGATTGGTGCAGCTGGGCGTTGATTTATGTTGAAGGTAACTCGGACTTTTTATCAGATTCAATAGGAATTTTTGTCCAACATTGTTTGGTTGGATGAGACACTGTTTTAACATACCAGATTATTAAACCGACACAATTCCAACTACTGGTTGCTCTATATCTTTTCGTTTTTGATTTGCAATGCCTATATTCTGAATTTTGCCACTAGGGGGCACTCCTGTCATTTGCATTAGCTTGGATGTAGTTGCTTGTTAATAATATAATGTTAATTCAATTGCATAGCTGCAGCTCTCTCCATTCACAAGAATTTTCAGGTTAAAGGGACTTTCCTAAGCACACTGTATACACACATACTCACATATACAATACTCATAATGTATGAAAGGAAATACTGTGAAGTTTGAAAAAAGCTTTAGTGGACCATAAAATATTTTGTCTTGAAAGTGACATAATAAATTAATACGACAGAATTCGAATAATACATACATTTTGAGATAAAAAGTTGAACAGATTACATAATTTTGTGGATTACAGATATCTTTCTGAACTTTGTTTACACTTTTTTAATTCTAATTTTTCTATTAAATACAGATTGTCTACAGATACTGTATTTGCATGCAGGATACTCATGAAGCGCACTGCCACATCTGTAACTACATCACAGTAACAGTAGTCTATAATACACTAACTTCCAAAAGTTAAGCACGGAGAAGAAAATGCTAATTTATGGAAGCCAATCAGAATTGAAGAAAATGCAATTCGCTGCAGAGGTAGATGGAAGTATGCAAATATCTTAGGTAACAGCTAATCGCGCTTTCATGTCAAGAGAAATATGCAAAAAAGGCAGTCTTATAAGAAGCCAGCTTTATGAAGGGTTACAGAAGTTGATTGTAAGTGCTGATAAAAGGTGTTTAAAATTTTCATACAATTTGTTTTCAAGACATGCGTGTTTCTATGACTTCCAGAAGACGAATGGAAGATTCGGAGCACTGGCGTGCTGTGGGGCACATTGAAGCAGGACAGTCGATTATAGGTGCTGCTCTTTTCTTCAGCGTTCATCATTCTGTAATTTCACGTTTATGGAAACAATTCCAAACCACACAGACAGTTGTCCGAAAGCCCGTAGCAAAGGGCTTGGGTGACGGTCTGAAGGCCGTCACCCAAGGGTCACAACCCTCGCGGAAGATCAATATATTGCTATTGTAGCCAAGCGGAATCGCAGAGCGACCTCCACACGTGTGACATCTATGGTTACAGCGTCCATTGGTAAGGCAATATCTGCAGCTACTGTATGCTGAAGATTACATATGAGTGGACTGTATATAAAAAAGGCAGTCTTATAAGAAGCCAGCTTTATGAAGGGTTACAGAAGTTGATTGTAAGTGCTGATAAAAGATGTTTAAAATTTTCATACAATTTGTTTTCAAGACATGCGTGTTTCTATGACTTCCAGAAGACGAATGGAAGATTCGGAGCACTGGCGTGCTGTGGGGCACATTGAAGCAGGACAGTCGATTATAGGTGCTGCTCTTTTCTTCAGCGTTCATCATTCTGTAATTTCACATTTATGGAAACAATTCCAAACCACACAGACAGTTGTCCGAAAGCCCGTAGCAAAGGGCTTGGGTGACAGTCTGAAGGCCGTCACCCAAGGGTTACAACCCTCGTGGAAGATCAATATATTGCTGCTGTAGCCAAGCGGAATCGCAGAGCGACCTTCACACGTGTGACATCTATGGTTACAGCGTCCATTGGTAAGGCGATATCTGCAGCTACTGTATGCTGAAGATTACATATGAGTGGACTGTATATGCCCGGGTAACTCGAGTTTGTGTTCCTCTATCCATCCAATCAAGAGGGGCACAATTATAGTGGTGCCGGAAGATGTCAATTGGAATGTGTCTGACTGAGGCAATGTAATGTTTTCTGATGAGTCAAGATTTGCTCTGGAGCCAGATGTGTGTGTGTGTGTGTGATTATGACAAAGCCTCGAGGGCTATCTGCCTAAGAGGAGGCATGCCTTCGTGGAGGACTTTCTAAGGGAAACTGGCTCGTATACACATTACACATTACACATGGGGAAAACCACGAAAACGCCCATGCAACCAGCTCGTTTGCGGGATTCGAACTTCGAACTGAACTACCAGTGTTCAGCGATTTTACCGCTCGGCCACTGGTGGGCTCTGTAGCCAGATAACAAGCGAATAAGAATATAGCATAAACAACGAACACGCAATCACCGAACATCATGCATTCTGATGTGGAAGCATTATGATGTGGGCAGGGATTTCATTAGGATACCACACCTACCTGCACATCTTTAAACAGGGTTCTTTGACGGCTGTCCGTTATCGAGATGAAGTCCTAGAACCCATTGTGAGATTGTACGCTGCAGCAATTGGCCCTACTTTTGTTTTAATGGATGATAATGCACGTTCCCATTGAGCTGACATCGTCAATGACTACCTGGAGAGTGAAGGGACTGCGCATATGGTGTGGCCAGCATATTCGCTTAATCCCATCGAAAATCTTTGGGATGCTCTCAGCCGTGCTGTATCTTCACGTTTCCCACCTCCAGCAACTCTCATTGAGATGGGAACTGCTCTACAAGAAGAATGGCGATTGCTTAATTCTGTGGTGGTTAACCACCTAATTAAAAGCATGGTCACAAGGTGTAAACTTTACAGATGAGGGGGATCATATACCCTATTAATGTCCTTTTTTTTACATTTTATGCTGTTTATTTTCACTTTATACATAATTCTGTTTAAATCTCCAGTATGTCATTATCTGATAACTTACAAAATTTTAATATTGTTTTCATTTCTGTATATAATTATTGATTTTGTTTTATGCATAAATATATATGCTACTTTCCTGCCGAATTTTGTGTCAATCAAAGCATTATTTGTTGATTTTTTTGCATTTTACATCTTCGTGCTTAACTTTTGGAAGTGAGTGCATAACAACCGGCACCTGCATAAACAATTTAACTTTAAACCACAGGGCATTTGCATTTGTAATACTGCAACTGAACAACGGAGATGGACATCGGAATGCATGACGTGTTTATGTGTGAATCTTACTTCTGCCTGCAGTACTACAATGGTTGTATTAGAATTTGGAGACACTGTCAAGAGAGATTGCTTGGCTGTTGCACTGCACATTTCAACAGGAGAATGTGCGATCCTATGCTGCATGCAATGTTCAAGCTTTCTTCTTAGACTACTATATTGCATTTTTACCGTGGCCTGCCCATTTTCCAGATCTATCGCCTGTCAAACATGTCTGCTCA